CCAATTAATTTCTTTCTATTTTTAGTAGAGACGGGGTCTCGCTCTTGCTCAGGCTGGTTTCGAACTCCTGAGCTCAAACAATCCACCTGCCTCGGCCTCCCAGAGTGCTAGGATTACAGGCGTGAGCCACCGCGCCCGGCCTAGGCTGGTCTTGAACTCCTGACCTCGAGAGCGATCCTCCCACCTTGGCCTCCCGGAGTGCTAGGATTACAGGCATGAGCCACCGTGCCCGGCCTGAAGTGTTGTGTTGACTGGTAGTTACCCAAATTAGGTCCTTATAAGTCCTTTCCGTGATGATAAAATGTACTAGCAAGTGGGTTTGTCTTAAGTCTAAGAGTACTGTGTACAAGGGGCTTTAGGCCAAGAGCTTTCCTGATGAAGTCAACCTGTTCCTGCATTCATGCTGACTGCCTTAACACGGTTGTTAAGGGTTGTAGGGAATGTGAAAAGTATGAGAGAGTAGTTTCTGCTCTCAAAGAGCTTATAATTTTGGTATCATTACTGCAAGCTTAATTGTAGGTACTGTCTTCTTTCTGGACTTTCAGATATTTGGCAGTTACCGTGCAGTTTAGTAGTGTGAACATTGAGGGGTTAATGTTTCCGTGTCAAATCCTGATGATCTCCACAACTATGAAAACTAAACTATTTTCCTTCTTCCTGCACTTTCCTCCAATCCTATTTTAATGGAATTGTTTGGATTTCTTGATTGTTTTCCAATAGTGGGACACAGCGGGCCAAGAAAGATTTCGAACAATCACCTCCAGTTATTACAGGGGAGCCCATGGGATCATAGTTGTGTATGATGTGACAGATCAGGTAAGTTCCAAGAAGAGATTGTTTCAGTGACAAAGCAGGAAATTACTAAACAGATTCATTTAATTGCCTATAAGCCCTCATTATTATTTTTAGGGCTGAAAACTTTGTCCACCCCCAAATATAAATGGGAATCACATCAAAACATTTGTTTTATTTTCCTTTAGTAATAGAAAATTAGTAATTAGTTTTACATTTGCTTTCAGGGGACTGGTGGTATTTATTATCAACTAAATAACTTTGATCATGTAGCCAAGACACTAACATATATAGGCAAGAATTTGTAGGGAATTGCAGGTTGTTTTGGTTTATACTGTGTTCTTGGTGGTACAGGAATTGGCCTGGTAATTAGAATTTGCCTATCATAATTGCCAGAAATAGAATGAGAGGTCTCTGTGGAGGATATGGTTCAGAAATAAAGGATTTGAATAGGATGAGCTATAGGAGGATTTTAGTGGGAGAGTGAGTATCTGAAGATTAGCCATGAGAGGGCAGGGGGATGCAGAGAAATATCTGGGACAGTGTTAAAAATGTGGTCCAAGGGTTATCGCTAACTGTTCTCTTGATCTGAAACAGCTGATTTCAGGGCCCCCCTTTTTTTCTTCTATAAAGAAAAGAATAAAAGATAAACTTTGAAAGTGGGAATTTATTTTTCTCGTAGCAAACGTTAACTCTCACCTCAGCTATAAAATCATAGCTAATTAGGAGATAACTTACACATAGATATTTAGATTCAGTGCCAGTGCCACTGGAGGAAGCATTGGGTAGGTGACACCAACAGGAGAAAAAATGATGCTAATTGTAAAAATCTCCAGTCATTACCAAGAAATATTTTAAAATGAAAATTTTCTTCCCCTAAATATGGCTGTGGAAAAGAAAACAAGTATCTTTATTAAATAACATCTTTTGACATCTCTAGTAATAACAGTAGGTCATCTTATACATAAATCAAAATTTTTTCTAATTTCAAAACCAGGTTTTACAGTACATTTAGATTGCATCTTTCAAAATAATTGGGTTTGCCTGAGTTGTAGTTTAATATTAAGCTGTATTTCCCTTTCAAGTGAGGTATTTTTATCTCCAAGCCTTCAAGTTCCTGTTTGTCATTCATTTAGATATTTATAGTTATTTTAATATATTAGTTTACTTCTTTCCTAGCACTACAGTTGTATTGTAGCTAGAGTTGTCTCACTAGCCCTTCTTTTTTGTCTGTTAGGTCAAGAAGGATGCTTCTCTTTATCACTTGCTTCAGTAGAGTAGTTGTGCCCAGAACTATATTATCATACTTTAACATGTTTGTCTTTTTAGGAGTCCTTCAATAATGTTAAACAGTGGCTGCAGGAAATAGATCGTTATGCCAGTGAAAACGTCAACAAGTTGTTGGTAGGGAACAAATGTGATCTCACCACAAAGAAAGTAGTAGACTACACAACAGCAAAGGTATGTTTAAAGTTTGATTTTCAAACTGAATTTAAAGGTGTTGAATTTTAATTATGTATGGGTGTAGAGTCATACTATGGCCATAACCACCTTAACTTTTAAAAATATGTGCAGCACTAGAATACTTTGACAGTGACAATTTATGTAGTGCCTGTTTGGATCCTGTGAATTTAGTCCTTCCTCAATCTCCATTATAGATGGTAGCAATACACTAAGTGAAAAAGATTTTTCAATGTTAATTGTGCCTTATTATTCTCTTAGGAATTTGCTGATTCCCTTGGAATTCCATTTTTGGAAACCAGTGCTAAGAACGCAACGAATGTAGAACAGTCTTTCATGACAATGGCAGCTGAGATTAAAAAGCGAATGGGTCCTGGAGCAACAGCTGGTGGCGCAGAGAAGTCCAATGTTAAAATTCAGAGCACTCCGGTCAAGCAGTCAGGTGGAGGTTGCTGCTAAAATTTGCCTCCGTCCTTTTCTCACAGCAATGAAATTTGCAATCTGAACCCAAGTGAAAAAACAAAATTGCCTGAATTGTACTGTATGTAGCTGCACTACAACAGATTCTTACCGTCTCCACAAAGGTCAGAGATTGTAAATGGTCAATACTGACTTTTTTTTTATTCCCTTGACTCAAGACAGCTAACTTCATTTTCAGAACTGTTTTAAACCTTTGTGTGCTGGTTTATAAAATAATGTGTGTAATCTTTGTTGCTTTCCTGATATCAGACTGTTTCCCGTGGTTGGTTAGAATATATTTTGTTTTGATGTTTATATTGGCATGTTTAGATGTCGGGTTTAGTCTTCTGAAGATGAAGTTCAGCCATTTTGTATCAAACAGCACAACTGGTGTCTGTCACTTTCCATGCATAAAGTTTAGTGAGATGTTATATGTAAGATCTGATTTGCTAGTTCTTCCTTGTAGAGTTATAAATGGAAAGATTACACTATCTGATTAATAGTTTCTTCATACTCTGCATATAATTTGTGGCTGCAGAATATTGTAATTTGTTGCACACTATGTAACAAAACAACTGAAGATATGTTTAATAAATATTGTACTTATTGGAAGTAATATCAACTGTATGGTGATAAGTATTGTTTTAATTCTTATGGTTAAAGGGAAATAGAGCCTTGCATTATATTTAAAAACAGCCATTTGTGTGTGCAACCAAGGCATTCTAGACCTATCTTAGAGCAGTATCCATTATTTGCTTTTCTAGATAATATACCCAGTAAACAACCTAGGGAGGCTTCTGTGCCGAGTAGGGATTTAACCAACTCTAGCAGTTCAGGGAGCTCAAATTGTATGGAAAACAAGTTTAGAATATATGCTGTCTAGCCCATTATCCTTCTCAAACCATTTGAAATGGCTTCATTTATCAACATTTCGCTAATTCATCTGTGGTAGAGGTGGAAAGCAGCACACCTTTCCTAATTGGCAAATGATCATACTAATGTGCTAATGTTTCTTCCATGCTCTCAGTTGTCAACAATTTTATCCTCCACAATTATATAATTTATGTTGGAGGAGAGTTAAGCATTGAAGTAGAAAGCAGGAAATTTAATTGCCCTAATTTTAGAGATTATATCCCTAAAATTTAACTCAAAACATGAATGCTGGGTGGGAATGACAAGTGAGGGAAATATATTTATTTCAGTGAAATTTTGCATGTGTGAGAATTTTGTTAAATAGGACCTTCAAGATCCCAGGATTTGTTTTTATTGTGGGAAGAATTAGTCTGCTAATTCTGGCATTTTAAGGTGATTGAGGTCAAAGATTGTTTCCTTAGGTTGAAGTAGCAGCCAAAATAGTCTTCACACATGGGCTTGGGATGTGGCTGCTGACAACAAGTTTTATTGTGGCTTCCTTAATTTAATGATAAAATTGAAGCTAAAAACAAGCCAAAAATTACATATTTTTTTTTTATTTTTCACTAAACAGGCAATTGAAATACATGGTACAAAAATAAGTGGTAAGATTATTGTAAAATGAAATGGACAGAATAAATATTCAATTTAATTTTCCATCTATGAGAATTTCACAATAAAATCATAGTTTACTTTGTATTATAGATGTGCTCGTTGGATCTATTTATCCTCACATAAGGCAACTAACCAATTCCTGAAGTTACCAATAGTTATTTGGGTGATCTTTTTTTAATGTTTTAGATGTTTTGGGTTTTTTGGCCTTAATACAGCATAAAGGGGGAGAGAATTGAGAAACTATTTTCTAAAGTAGTTAAATGATACAAAATAAATGATAGACAGTGTGATGCTGTGCACTTCATTTTATACAGCAGAAATTCAAACTGTAGGCTTATTCTTGGAAAGTTAGCAGAAAACATTATATGATAAACTTAACATGTGAGAATATATACAGACTTAGTTTGGAAAATTCTATAGTGGTCTTTCTCCCATGGCAGTCAAGATTGGGAATTAGCACAACATACTTCAGCATGCTTCACTATTTGCTTTCATGTATATGCCAATAAATGCAGTTTTGAAAAAAATATATTACCATTTCTATCCCCATTTTCAAGTACAAACATTTCAAGGCTACTATGGACTTTAATCTGTTCATTTAATAAAGGGAATTACCGCTTGTCACGTTTTAAATGTAAGTGGCTGCTGTTAATTAGCTTACATAGTAAAGAGTGTAATTCTAAACCTAAGCAGTTGTGAGCCCTGAGAAATCCTTACAGAATGATAGCCGTTACTGATCTGAGCAGTAGCTTCTGTTCTTTGACCTTGGACTGAAATTTCCTTTAGCATGTATGTTGCCATTCCATATCTTACATCAGAACTTTGTGTTCCCACTTAAGCTTCAAGATAGCCCTGTACTGACATCGTCTTCTATTTGCTGATGAGCTTAGCTATGGCTCTATGAGATCCCAGGACTTGAAACTGCTGATCTAGCTTTTCGTATTGCCAGCTCCCCGTGGACTCAAATTCCATGAATTTTAAGGGGCTACTTAGAACTTTTATTCCAGTGTGGCATTAGAGTGCACCAGCCAGCCACTCTACTTGAATCTAACCCAGCCATGTTTGCTCATGGAAATGCAACTGGCAGCATCTTACTAGGCTGAAACAGTTTCAGCTTGAGTTTTAAAGGGAGGTCTTAAACTTCTTAAAGCATGACTAATGTAATTAACAGTTGTGCTGATATTCTTCAGTGGTATTCACAACCAGATTCATAGAGCTAGTACCCTTTAGTCACATTTTAAAAGAGACTGAACAACATCTTAGATCATCTCTAGGTAAGGTAGCATTTTCTTGGGAAACAGGGTATTCCAAAATAAAATGTTCTGTGAAAATTCCTGTTAGTTGAAGCCGATTATAATTAAGTTGACAGGAATAGAATGTCACATTCTGCATTCAACTGGTGTAATATTGACCAGTTTCTGTAGGGTTTTCTTCAATTTTTATGCTAATATTAATTAGAAACTTACTTTCATGCTTATCAAATACTAGTAAATAAATAGGTTTAATTCTTAAGGGCTGTTTATTCTGTAACATACGCAGTGGAAAAACATGTTCCAATTTATAGCGGTGTCAAAGAGGATATCAGTTTAAAGACAGAGGCTTTTAGACATCTCTGGCTTTTTAACCAATTCTAACCAATAATTTAATCAATTATCATAAATTGATAATTTATATCAATTATGTAATAATAGGACTTTAGTTCCATTATAGTGTGCTTTCCTACCAGGTTCATTCAAGGCCCAGATAAGATAGAACTTACTTAAAATGCTTTTCTGTAGCATCTGTGGTTACCAGCAATAACTGATTTTGCTTCGAAAAGCTATAGAATGATGTTTTAAATGGTTGATCATAGATTTCTCCCCCCTGCCACCCCCTCATCTATTAAGGTACTTATGTGTCAACTCCCAAGCAACAAAGAATCTTCTCGTCACTGTTGATAGCTTTCTGTACTGAACCAGGCTACATGATCCTATCCATTCCCTCCCTGACCCTGGACAACTTCCAAGGGAGAGTAGGAGTGGAGGGATGAATGCTCCCAGAGGTACCCTTAAGCTTGATAATTAGCTCCAGAGCCATGCTGAAGCAGATGGCAGTTCCGCATCCCTGACATTTTAAGATACTAGTAGTTAGGCAGGAAGGTGCAGACCTAAGCCCTGAACATACAAAGTAATTTGTAGAGGTTCTATTCATTTACCCCTTTTCTTCTGTAGACAGAGGGTTAAAGTACTTTCTAACAATCTTCAAAGAGGGATTTACAAACCTGTTTAGTTTTATGATAAGGCCTAAGTTTTCTCAACAACCATTCACTCTTTTCATTCTCTTGGGTCCTCTTCTATGTAAGTATTTGGAACCCTGTTTCTCATACCAGCCTTCTGTAAATGATCTCAGCAGGTGGAATAGTTGAGATTTATCTGTTCTGTTTTAAACTGGAGCGGGAGGCAAGACTCTTAAGTCTTCTTATTTTATCAAAAACTGCAAAGCCACATGCTCTTTGTAGAGAAGCACCAAAAGGAAAACCTTAGTGTGGAAGGATTCATTGTAAATAAAAACAGTAATTCAAGAGCCCTCCCTTCAGGAAAAAAAGGCATTTTAAAGCTAGTATACTAGAGTTAAGTTTCCCCCTTGACTTTAGTGTTGAGTGGCTCTTGCAAGGACTTTAGAAAGCTTTTCTCATCACCCAGCATTTGGCTGACAGACTGCATCTCTGCCTGAGAAGATGCCTGCAAGAGAAAGAGAACCATTTGTCACAGGCATAACATTGCAGAGGAAGAAGTGACAACAGCAGTCATCTGCATTCATTTTAGAACTAAGATGACTACTCAAAATTGCTTTGATGCAAATATGAGTAGGTATGTCCCTGCTCTTGACATACCTACAGTGAGTTCTCACCTCGAAAATCTTTTTCTTTCTGTTAAATTTACCTTTATTTATCTCTATACTTTATATATAAATTTCTACACTTTATATTTTAATTTCAGAATATTATATGGGTACAAACGTTCTGGTTACAAAAATTTCTTTTGTGCCATTTGAGTCAAAGTGTGCCCATCCCCCTCAGACAGCATGCACTGCACCCATTAGGTGTGAATTTTCCCCTCCTCTCCCCTCCCACCTGCTTGATTTCTGATCAGTGTTATTTCTATATGTGCATAGTGTTGATTGATTAGTTCCAATTTAATGGTGAGTACATGTGGTTATTTCTATTCTTTCTGCCCAATACAGGAATCACCTAGAAAATCTTCTGTAAGTTAAGCACTACAAACATTTTGCTGTAGGAGAGGACATTTCAGAGAGCATACAGTCCAGCTGTGGAATTCTAAAGAGCACTGACAGTAGCAACCCTATAGAGGGTGCGCCAGCCCCCTCCTGCTCTCCCAGCCCTTCTTTCCCATCTTTCTATAGACTTTCCTGAGGCGGCAAAAGGAAGTTATACTACTTGTTAAGTCTCCAAGGCATGTTACCCCCTCCATCCCCCTACCCCCCTAGCTCTTTTGGAAGGGAGTGGTATGGGAAATTGTAGAGACCCTTTGTGCGGGGGGGTTGAGGTAGGTGAAGAGTAATTGCTAATTATGGGTTTCTGTGGGCACCTGGTACTGTCACATGCTTGGAGACGGAACACCAAATGAGGTGGGCAAGGAGAGCCTGCAGAATGGGGTTGGCCTGATCATGGCCCCATACTGCAGAAGTATACACATGCCGACATAAAGTAGGTATAGGTAAGTTTTGCTGCTGTTGTCTTAGGGTGGTGGTGACAAGACTGCCATAGAAATGGAAGCATGGGGCACCCTCATCCTCAGCAGGGGTGAAACTGAGTAACAGAAAACATCACAGTGAGCTTTTGTTAGCACAAGAAGACCAGCAACTCCTTTTTCAGTACCATTGGCTGTCTTGTTCCAGCATCTCATTTGTTTGATTAATTCTTGGCCCAATAAGCTTCTGTACCCTCATGAGCACTAGGGTTGGAGGGCAGCTTTTCTTCTTGGGTTCCTCTACTTACCAGGTTAAACCCCTTCACATGGGCACTGCTCTGCTGCCATGGGCTTTTTGTCAGGGATGAGGGTGCAACCAGCCAGCATGTCCAGAGACGCCAAGATAGAGTCATATAGGCGATCTGCATGGCTCTCCAGCTCACTAGACTGCTTCGCAATCCTCCCAAGGACATCCTTCAAAACTAACAATGAGGTTCAAAGCAATTAGACCAAAAAACCCATGCAAGTGTTGCCTAGTAAGCATTTTCAAGAGAATGTACAAGGGTATATAGCATTTTGCACAAAAAGGGACTTGGCAGTGGTTTCAGAATGTACGCCTTTTCAAACAGTGATTCTCCTGGGCCTTCTGTTGCACTTTGACTTTTTTTTTTTTTTAAAGCCAGTCAGATTTAGCAGTGGGGGACTGAATACCAACTTTAGTGACACTAATGTTAATAAGTTCTGATAACCCACTACCATCGGACCAGCCAACGCTTTGACTTCTGATTAAAGCTGAGGAAAGAATTCACTGGTGTCACTTTGGAATTATATAATTCACAGAAGGGCAGGTAGATACGGTTCTATGATAACAGGTATTTGACTTCAGAGGTAAGACACAGGGCACATCCAGATCTGTCTGGCATAAGGCTTAAATGACATGAAATAACATGCCAAGATTGAGATGCTGGCCCCTGCCACTGGATCCTATCAACTTGTGTTGGCTGGGGGGGAGACTGTCATATCACATATGGGTGCTCTGGTAATGTATTTGGGAATGCTTGTGAACCCTTTTTTGTGGATCCTACATTTACAGATTTAAAAAGAAAATGATCTGAGAACAGGCAAAGACAAGATTGTTAGTGAGGCCAAGATTCCATTCCTACACTGTCAGAAGTGTTCATGTGAGGAACGGATGGGCTTCACAGCAGGCTTATTTTTTTCTCTTTTAAAAAACTTATTTCTTTTGTTAAACAAAGGCTGCCTTGGCTTCCTGCGCCTTTATCAGCTGTGTTAACACTCTCCCTAGTTTCCTCCCACAGCTGCAGCATCTGCCAGCACAGGAAGGGAAACGGGAAGCTGCCTATCTGCAGACAATGCTGACTTGGAAGGGTGGAAGAAGGAACACAGGCCGGCTGTGTTGAGATCAGCCCCTAGGGAAGCCACATCGGTGCAATGTCATCGGGGCAGCGTGCCGTCCTGACAACTCACGAGAGTTGGCAGAGGAATACAGCCAGAGTGTGCAGTAAAGCTTGGCGGTGAGGGTGGCTGGGCTGGGTTCTCTGCCCCCACCTTCATCAGACCTTTGCCCCAGTCTTCCTGTGAGTTGCCAATGGATTTCAGGGAACTTTTATTCTGGACTGTTGGAATATTTGGTTGAGACCAAGTAAAAGAGAAGCTGGGAAGGAATGAAATGGACGTGTTTGTGTGCTGGCTCTACTGACTCGACAATGTGCTCCTGGAGAAAGAAAGTAAACTGTGCACCTAGCCAGAGAGAGAGTGTGAAGTGTTAAGGAGAACTTGTGATTTTCACAAAACAGACAAGTTCCTGATTATTCCAGGCAGAGGGCAGGGCACTGTGTAAATCTCACAGAGCCTGGATAGAAACCTGAAAAACCACAGAAAACCCAAAGTCTCATTTTGTCCAATAAAATACCTCTAGATCCCTTTTGAGAAAAAGGCAAAGTAGGATGTTCTTATTATAGATTAAGCACTAAAAAGTATTATTGAACTGATTTCTAAATGAAGGTAAAAAACCTATAGCTTTTAAAAGGCCTGCTTTTACTTGTGGCCTCAGTGGAGAGAGGAGATACCTGGTATTTGAGCTCTTTTCTCGTCTTTCTCAGGCCCCTGCACCTCTAGACACTGTGGCAGCAGTGGGGAACCAGTGTACCGGGGCTCAGCCAGGCTGCCATTTCTTGTGTGGCAAGGTGAGAGTAATAATACTACGTATCCATCTCACAAGCCTGTGATTAAATGAGAAAAACTGACGTGCCCACTGCGTCAACACACCGTCTGGCCCATGGAAAATGTTCAGTAAAATGCTAATGTAATTACAAGTAGCAAAGGTGCCTGGCACGTGTAATTTCTGCCCTAATAAAAAGCCTAAAATCTTTGTGCAAGAGACACCAGAAGAGCCCAAAGGCCTTAGGAGGGCAGGGGCCTGCAAAGGGCCCACCTAATACACACCGGACAACCACTCGCCTGCTGGGAACCCTTCTGTCTATTCACAGCTCTCAACCCTAGTGATTTTTCTTCCCAAGATGTCTGGAAACATTTTGGGTTGTTACAACTGTGGGGAAGGGGAAGATTTACTGGAATCTGCTGGGGCCAGGTTGCTGCTAAACATCCTGCACTGCATAGGGCAACCCCCCATAAGAAAGGATTACGTGACCAATACAGCAATAGTACTGAGGCTGAGAAACCCTGTCCTACACCCTCTCCCACCAGGAAAGTACCTCCTCATTTCCTTAAGCTCCCAGGGCCTGCTCAGCTTTGCTTACGCTGCTGGATTCCAGTGTAAATCCTACGTCACTCCAAACACAAACTGAGGCATAATACAGATGGGCTCTCTTAGCATTTGGTTGTATGAAGTCTAACAGGAAATTAGGGGCTGCATTTGGGGGTCCATCAGTTCAAGGGTTTAATCTAGCATCCTCCCTTAGCTCATTCTCCGTATTATATCCTCACCCCTCTGCCCCATAAAGACAACGAGGAACATAAGTCTTTGGGCATACTCTTGAAGTCAATCTTTGCACTTTCCTATATTGGGAGCCCATCCTATAAAATGGGCATGAGCGTGATTTGTATGCCACTGCCACCAATCTCCTGTCATCAGTTCACTACTTCGTTAAATCTATTCCTTGAGAATAGACTAACTCCTCAAATTCTTTTAATCAATACAATCCTTTTCTGAAACAAAGCCTTCCCAAAGAAGAACACAAAGCAGATAACCAGAGAGGAGTTCAACCTGAGCTGGGCAAGGCAGGGAACCACTTAAGGATACCCACTGAATACTCCAGCCACAAACTAAGGACTGCTGGATTAAAGCCAGGATTCTCACCTAAAACACCACTAGAAAAGTACAGAAACAAAAGAGAGTCATTCTTGCAGGCCTGATGCCTAATTTCTAACGGGCTTACTTTTCTAACTACACCTGCCTCTTCGTGGGTTTGCAGGGCACTGGCAGACAGGCAGTGGGAATCTAAGGCAGTGGGGGAAGGGGCTCTTGCAATATCGGCTCCTTACCAGGAACAGTGTGGGCCCCTGGGCCTGCTGCTGAGAGGGATTGAGAGCTCCGGCTAAATTAAAAACCTCAAGTATCTCACCTGGGGTGTTATCCAACAGGCACTGAAGAAGAATCTCTCCCTTCTGTAAGACACTCTCCGTCAGGGACTGATGTTCATCTATATCTTTCTTAAATTGCTTAAAGCATATCAGAAAAAGAAAAACAATAAACTTCATTTACTAAGATTTTTGTAAAAGTTATTCAAAATGAGCACCATGCAGGGTAGCTTGATTCCCCTTCTAATGTGAAAGATTTCACCCCACCTGGTCTGCAGAATTCCCCGAGTAAACAGGGCAATAGTTTTAACTTCAGCCCCTTTGCACACAAGGTAGACAGAATCAATGCTTTTTTTCTGTTTAGTTTGACATCAGAAGAGTTTTCTTTTCCCTGTCAGAGGCTGGCTCATGAACAGCTTGGAGTCAGTTTCCTTCTAGTGCCCTCACCTCACAGGGCTCTCTTAAATTCCTAAGGGTATGGGATTCTCAAAATAAACTGTATTCCATTCTAATGGGCCTGATAAAGCAGAACCAGGAGAGCTCTGCCATTCAACTGACCACCACAGCTGCCTCCGCCTCGGCTCCTCCCCACTGTCTGCAAGCTGTGCAGTCCTCTAGGGTAACGAGAAGCTGTGAGTCTCCCAAACAGCTCGTTTGTTTTCCCCACATGGCTACCAAGCCTTGTAGCTGATTGGTTCCGATGTTCTGTGAAGTCAATCCATGACTACCTTTAGTCCAGGGCGCAGAACTTGGTGTTTAACATTTTGAAGTGATAATTTTACTCTTCAATTTACTACTTCCCTATCTTCAGTTTTCCTTTGCCTTGATAACTATACTTACTATTTTCTTCTCTGGTACTCTATGTGGTTTATATGCTGCCTCAACCCTACTGTGTTATTTGGACAAAGTACCAATATATGAGAAAATGAGTCACAATTAAAATATGTAAACGCATAACATTTGCTTATAGTAGGCCTTGATCTAAGCACAAGTCAAGGGAGCTCTTATGTATGCATGAGCCATGCACCATTCTGTGGGGAAGGGGTTGATAGTATAGTCCCACTTTGTGACACAGTTAAATGGGTGACCCAAGAGGCCTAGGCCTCACTGACCTGTAGGAGTAACTCCTAGACCAGATCTCAGCTCTACTCACAAAGCAAGATGACTGATTTGGCTAACTTGGAAGCTGAGGCACAGATGGATGGGATGAGGAATAAATGGAGGGAATGGAGTTACTCTATTTGCACCTGGTCTGACAAGCTAGAAAGGCCATCGAGGTAAGTCTAATGGGTCAGGTTCCTCTCCCTGCAGTGGTACACTGGCCCTGCACCTCCTGGGCGTAGGCCCTGCATAGCTATGTGCACACATGCAGTCTGCACACAGGATCCTTGGGCTCAGCCATCTTTCCCTTCCTTCAGCTCACTCTGGGTGAGGAACTCATGGCAACCTCTTCACATTGCAGGAAACAACATTCCCACCAGGGTGGAGAAGTTGGCCTGGCCCACCCAGGCCAGGGAAGGCTCCTCCCCTAAATTTTAGTTGGCTCCAAGCTGGAAAACAAAGGCCATCTCTCCAGCCGAGGTGTGGTCCCAGTGAGGCCATGAGTCAGCCTGGCCCCAGCTGTGCAGCCCTGGCTCATGCACATGTATTAATAAATCACGCCCTCTTCTGCTTGGTCAGGTTATAAGGTTGTAGAAATTCAAAGAACTGTCCTAGAAAACCCCTTCTAGACTACCATCAGGCTCAGACCACAAATACCACCTCTCCTACTTCATTAAGAGGTTAGAAAGACTGGCTATCCAGATACGCTAGAAATCAGTCAGTAGTTCAGCAAAGGTTAACATTATACTTAGGGATAACAACTATATAATTTAGCCTCCAAATCTGGACACTTCTGAAAATGAAAGAGGATTATTATTAATAATTATGCCAGAATAACAGGCACAGACTAGGACCTGTAGGCACCCTAAATATACTTAATCTAGGATAGAGTTAACAAAAATCGACAAACAAGTATTTTTTAAAATAACAGATGCTTAATGAAAATGAAGCCAAAAAAGAGCAAAACCATGCCCAAACACATACACTAACAAGCAACTGGTGTCAGATTGTTGTTTAAATACTACCGAAATGCCCTATTGTATATGCTAGAGTAAGTATTAATACAGTTTCAGTTCACATCTTTAATTAGCAGTGCAGTCCAACAGAACTTTCTGTGATGATGACAGTGTTCTGTATCTGCACTGGTCAGTGTGGCAGCCACTAGACAAACGTGGTGGCTGAGCACTAGGAATGTGGCTAGTTCAACTGAAAAATCTGAATTGTAACGTCACCTAATTTAAATAGCCATACGTAACTAGTGGCTCCATAACAGTGCAGGTCTGTACTTAACAATCTCTGAGATATTTGCAAAATTACATTGCAAATCACCCTCAAGTATTTTTGATTCAAGATAAATATAATCTATTTTCTCGAAATCCTATTTGGCCTGGGAAATAACCCATGCATTTTACAAAGTTTTTAGCAGTAAGCATTTGAAAACGGCCTCTGATTAGATTTCAGGCATAACAGGCAACTGAACTACAATATACTAGGCATCAATTATTTGAGATTTTCCTTTGTAATCAAGTAACTTAGCCACAAGTCTCATAAGTGAACAAGCCAAAGCCAGGACCACATATTACCCGGTAAAGCTGCAGAGAAGACTTGAGACCTATAAGATTGGACCTGGGTGGAGTCCCACGGTCAGTAACATCTGCGACATTATACAGCCAGTGGATCAGCTCTTCCAGCTGACAGCAAAATGTCTGTGGAGACAAATAAAAGAACACATGGCGTTACTGACTGAACTGCTATTTACATTATCAAAAGGCTAAAAATATCAGAACTCTGGGAGACAGACTGTGCATCGTTCCAGAGCATTCCCTTACCAAGGCATTGGTCTCTCCCCTCCCTACCTATCCCTACCCCACAACTCTAGACCTCCCTCTGCCAGGACAATGAAAAGTCTCACTTGGTTCTCTCTCCCTTCAGCCTGAATGTGACACCAAAAATGACCGGCTGAGAAGACCTAGCCCTGCAGTTGGGAATGGACCAGCCCAGAAGAGGCATGCCTGCTACAGAAACCAATTCTTGGGTCAGGACCATTACTATCAAACTGTTTCTGTGGAAAAAGTGAATGTAAAATACAACTAAAATCATGACTAACCCAAACCCACAGCCAAAACCAATTTTACCTCACGGTATCTCAATCTTTAACACAAAAGAAGGGTATATGATAACATTTGTCCTGTTGCTTCACAGGACAAATACAATCCACGTGACATCTGGGAAGGGTAAAGCCCTCTTAGAGTGCTAGGACATGTCCGTGGCGTTGGCTCACAGGCACCTGCCATCTGCAGTGATGATGCGGCATCTGAGTGCTCACAGGGAAGGCAGGGCAGCAGAAGCACCCCTGAACCTTCAGCATGCTCTGGGACTGCACGGAGCCCTAAACATGAAATTTGTTGTTTAACCCACACAACTTCCCAAAGAGGCAGAGCTCCAGATTTTACGAAAGAGCATACTCAAGAGACTGAGCCCAGGGAGTACGGGGGTAAGGGCAACATACGTAACCTAAACATCTGTACCCCCATAATATGCTGAAATAAAAAAAAGAAAAAAAAGAGACTGAGCCCAAATTCCAAAGACAGCAGGGCCACGATTCCAATTCAGATGTCCAACCCTGACAACCCTGTTCCATGCAGTATTAACTATACCTCCAGATATTAATAGGTGGTCCACAAAAGAAGGGTCAGTGGCCAAGAAGTCTGGGCAACGGTACATCTAATGTCCCTAACTCTGCAGAGTTACACCACTTTGGCAAATGAAGCTCTGAGAAGTCCTGCAGTCAAGAAAGCCACTTACCTTTGTTTAGCCCAGTGTTTCCTAAAGGCATCTGTGCTCAGATCCCTTTTGTGCAAAACACCTCTGTGTTGGGAAACAGCCAGGGACAGTGGTTAAGAGGTCAGGCTCTGCAGACAGTCTCCCTCTACCTGGGTTTGACCCCTGCTCAAGCCCTTGCTAATTATAAGTCAGCAAGTTACTTAACCTCTCTCTGCCTTTTTCTCCACTTAAATGAGAATGGTACTTACCTGGTGAGAGTTGTGAGAACCAAATAAGGTACAGCACAGTGCCTGGCATATAAAAGGTGCTCAATCGACGTTAGCATGTTCTGTTATGCGGTAAATTGGGGGAAGAAGAGACAAGAAACCCATATACAGAGCCTCTTCATGTTGGACGTCTTTACCTTCACACACTGCACCAGCGACTCTTTTCCCTGTTCTCCTCTCCTGGGAAGCTGCCCTTCAGCACCTGGGTCTGAGAATGGCCACCGGTCCAACATAGCTGGCAAGGAGGGGTGTGTTTTCAGCAGTCCAGAGGAGACCCCGAAGGCCTGGCTGCTCACTAGACTGCCTTCCCCTGCAGGGTCCTGGGCACGGACAAAGGAACGCAGGAAACAGTGGTTCTGGCCCTCAGTATCCCCAGACCTCTGCAGGGCAGCCCCGGGGGGAAGCTGGCTTTGGCCGGAGTCCGATGGGAAGGAAGCTGGCCCATCACTGTCTGACACTTCCAGGGAGCTCTGCCCTTTGGCAGCCTCAGTGGGCAGGGTAACCAAGGTGGGAATGGATCCTAGATACGAAACCAAACTAGAAACCTGTGTCAGCCGAGTGGGCAGGGCGAGGTACTCGTCGTCACTTTCCACTTCCTCTTCTGCTTTCCATCTAGACTCTGTACAGGCAGGGTGCTGGACACTCTGGTTGGCCTTCTTCTCCCTCTCTGGCCTAGATGAAGGCCACCCTCTGTCCCGTTTCCTCAGCTGGGGAGAGCCCACCTTGGGGTGCTTGCCCATGGGTAGCCGGTCCTTTGCACCCCTCAGGGCTGGCTCTCTGCTCTCCCAGGTAGCATTCCTATTGCCTGGGACTCTGGGGGTAGATGTGAGCTGGCTCCAAGATGCCAAGCCCATGTTGCCCTGCTTTTGGGGTACTCCAGAGGGCCGCCGCTTAAAGCCTGGCTCTCTCGGCCCAGAAAATGGCAGGTCAGTGGCCTCTGCTGGTGGGCAATTGGAGGACACATTAGTGGGTGATTTGAGGGTGCTTGCTGGGGAGACAGAGAAGCTATCCAGGTCTACACCCGAGTCCTGCAGGACAGGGTTGGTCAGCACACAGCTATCAAGGTGCTTTGGGAGCTGAGGCCCAGGCCTCAGTGGGTAAGTATAGTCGAGCAAGTCTTCATACTCTTTATTTGGGTTCCAGAGAGGGGACTGGCGGTCAGGTGAAGGAGGCAGGGAATCTGGCAGCACACAGGCCCAGTACTCAGCCTGGAAGGAGAGGCGCCTCCGGCCTAGCCCACTAGCATCACCCCCAGAGGACACAGGCTGTGGTGACCACTGGCGCTGAGGCCCTAGCCCCGCCACAGAGGGGGATCCCTGGGGGACGACCAGCTCCAGGGAGGAGGAGACCTTGGCAAGGGAGCAGCTCTGGGGCTCCACCTTCTCTTGGCGATCGTGGAGACTGCTGCCCGTGGAGGAGGCCGAGATGCTGCAGCTGGAAAGCTGAGGAGCAGCGGCACGTGGGCCCACCATGGACTTCGGCTGTGATGGGAAAGGGAACCCTGAGCTGTGAGGCCGCTGGCTGAGGTCTAGCACCTGGGGCCAATCAACCGGGGATGGATTATCTTCAGTGTCAGCATCGTGTGCTGAGCAAAGAGCTGTAGTTCCAGGGAGCCTAAGAGTCTGAGGTAGCTCCCCAGAGGCAGAAAGCTTGGTCTCCTCCATCTGTAATGATAAGAGGGAAGAAAAAGCACCCAGTTGAAAATAATCAAACCAAATATCTTTCTTAGATGACAACCCAGGAGTTTCCTTGTGGGCACAGGTGGTATTCAGGAAAAATCTCAAAATGAAAAGTCTGCCACCCAAGGCAAGAATCAGACCCTGAGTGTGTGCTGCCAGTGGCAGCACTGAGACTCGGCCTGCTCTGGGAGCAGAGCTGTCCTCCCCAGGCTGACCCTGTCCCTAGCCCTCTCAAAGTTCTTCCTCCACAGATGCCCAGCTGTGGGACAGCTCCATCACGCTGAAGCTGGAATACACTGCTGAAGCTTTGAGAAGCGCATCTTGGCAGATGAAACCCTCAATCGCTCTGTTGCTAATAGGAGACGTCCAGACCCAGCAGGCCCCGCCCTGCTCGGCTCCCACGTCAGCGTAACTGAACACTGGCAGAATGAGTCACTCATCTCAGCTTCTTCGCTGTGGACTTTTTATCTGCTCGATGGAGAACTCACCCCTGAGGGAGGCAGGACAGCACTGTGGTTAAGGGCACAGGCTTTGGAACCAGACAGACCTGGTATCAACCTCCACCTCTGCCACCTTCCAGATTTATGACTTGAGCTTCACTTCCCTCCCCTGTAAAATGGGGATGGTAACAGCACCCCTCCTCAGGAGGTAAGGACTGAATGAGCTCACGTATGAAAAGCACATGGTGAAGAACTCAACAAACAGGCATCATGACCATAAGCACCAGACTCGTACAGAATGGCCCATCACCTGGCTCTGCTTATTTGCTTCCTGCCTCACCGACTCTCTGGCTCACAGGTGCCAGGGCCTCCCACCGCCCCTTGTTCCTAGGCAAGTGGGGCCCAGCCTCTGTTCTCTCCCAGTCTCACTCAGAGCCTCCTGATAGGATAGCGCTCCATGAGGGGAGCAGTGTAGCGGCCAAGGCCACAATGACACCAAGGAGATCAAAGGCATTCCCAGGAAAGGCCTTGGCAAGCAGAACATAAAAGGATGTCAGGGTTGGGAGGGAAAGATCATTCAGATCACCCTCCCAATTATACTGAGGGCCTGACAGATTCAGTGATTTGTCTGCAGCCATAGAACCTAACAGGAGTCCCTGTGTGACTCCCACTAAGAGAGGCTGCCTGGCAGTAAAGAGGCCCAAAAAGTTCTCCCTAACCAGGGACAGTGCTAACTACCACTGGGGCTCCAAGACTCTGACAGGTCCCCTGGGTTCAAAGAGGATTCAGTCTCAGAGCCCTCAGGAGCCCTGGACCCTCCTTTCCCAAGTCTCCTCAGGGTCCCCCTGAAGCCTCAGATCACCAAGTCAGAAACAGGACGGGGATCCCTTTGTCAGAGCTCCCCTGGCCTATCCCTTTGGATAGCAGACTCTTGGCCATATGAGCCCGGTTCTCAAAAGGTCATCAGTCACACCTCTGAGTATAGGAGATGCTGTGGACAGAGCCCCCTGCTGGCCCCGAGGCCCAGCTCTCCAAGTGAACCTGTTACACAGGAATCATCATACCCAGGCTCCCCCAATTCCCCACCCTGCACAGTAGCGGGAAAGGATGCAAGATGGTGAAGACATGCTGGAATAAACTCCCAAAGGACGGCACTGGGTCAATACACAGTACCTTTGCCTTAGAACCTACCTGACTTCCCACAGAGCACAAAAGGTCTCCAGTCCCCGCGCTGGCAGGATGACGCAGGCAATGAGGGGCAGGCTTCAGACCATCAGCCACCAGCTCTTTGTTGGCATTGCTGGCCTGTGGCTGGTAGGCTGCCAAGGGGCCGTCAGGGTCAGCCCCAGCCCAGCAGGCAGGAGCGGGTGGCCCTTCTGCCCGCCACACAGGGGAGATGGGCCCTCCCTCAGCTTCCAGGTGTGGGGGCTGCTCCCTGTTCACGGGCCCTGGAGTAGCCCCCTCTCGCTCCCCGCAGCTCCATCTCCTGCAGGACTGGGCCTTCGCGGCTGCAGATGCTTCCACCTCTGCCTTTTCTTCGCCCAGGGCCATTGAGACTCCCTAGGTCAGGGTTCCCCTAAAGCTTTAGGCTTCCTATAAAACAGGAAAAGGGAAGAGAGACATCTGTGTCCAGGAAGCCTTACTGTTTAATGATTAAAGCAAACATTTATTTATTTATTTATTTTTGCCAAATAAAAAAG